TATTCACTGCCTTCGGTGTCTTTATTTGTGACTGCAATGAAAGTGCGAACTGGACAGTGTGGGGTGACGACGGTGGTGGCAGGTAATTACTGCGCGTAGAATAGGGATGCTGACCCCTGGCGACACGGACACCACTCTCCATATAAATCTCATTTGTGATTATTTGAATCTCCTCAAAACACTCAAATTTCAAGAAATTCACTCTCTCTTTGAAGTGTGCGGTAGCTTATGTAGCTATTCTATGTCAGTACAATTGTTGCTAAACTTGCGTAGCCGACAGTTGTTGGCCACGCCAGCACTTAATCAAGATTTATCGTTGCCGCTCCTTCTATCTGTGCGATGTGCAACTGTTTTTATCCAATTCTATACATTTTATACCCTTTCGTTCATTTCTTAGTTAAATATAAAACCGATAAAGTAATGCCTTATCTCACAAAATTTCTCCCTTTTCTATCTCAACTTTTTGGCTCTACCAGTCTGTTTTCTTTTCAATCAGAAATGGTTCTACTGCTCTGCTCTAAGTTCGAATATGTCATTGTTATAGGTTTACTATATATTCTAACTTCCTAGCTATTACAGGAAATCGCAGGAGAACAGTTTCCTTTCAAAATATGGGGCCGACTGAGGCTCTGGTGCTTGTTTCACTCGCAGGACTGTCGCGTAAGTCTTCATTCAAAGCTTTTGTATTTGTTCATCCAGAAAAGCGTGAGCCAGCTCTCATTGAGAGCAGAGGTGTCCTAAGCGCGTCCTGATTTGTTGAAATGACGAGGAGATCGTGCGAAAATGCGCGAAACGAAAAACAAGAGTGATGTTTGACGGTGGCGTGGTCACTCATGTTTGCTGATGACGTCCTCCCGGGCATCGCTGAGCGGAGTTGATTTACAGAGCCACACAAAGCCAGAACAACATTGCCTATAGTGTATTTATGTACCATTTCAGTTGCTATCGGGAACGATGAGGTGTTCGCAAATACCCCGGGAGCAGGACCATATTACGTAAAGGAACATATGATCGGACCGACTCTTAAGTGTTCTGTGCGTAGTAAATTTGCCGATCGAGCACGCTATCAAGTGCAATGGCAACGTTACAACAAGGGAAACCTCAGGTTTCTTCACTTCTGAATCCAATACTTTCCTTTTCTCGATCAAAATTGAGCTATTTTCGTACTCGCACTCGGTCTTCTTATGCTTTCCCTATTTTTAGGTATATCTCCATCAACGACCAGCTTCTTGACTCAGCCCACTTTGAGCTGGTCGGAGACATCTCTAGTGGAGTATACGACCTTAAACTCAAGGATATTGCGCAAAATGCAGTGGAGGGCTCATACTACTGCACTGTTCTTGATCGTCAAGAAA